GTAGGTGCACGCACATATGTGGGGCACATGCATGGGGGTGCATTCCATTTTGGGGGTTTGGGCACACACATATGCATTTCCACGCACATACTCGTGGAAAAGGTTATCCATCACTATTATAGACCATCAAAATCCTCCAACAAACAGAACTTGAAAACATTATCAGCACATAGCATTCATCTGCAGCATATAGAGGATTATCAGAAGCCACTATGGCTAAGAGCCACTGGTTTCTCAATCTATGTGTGAATCCTCTATGAGTTTTTAGAATTTCTCCCCCCAACTTTAAAAACATTTAAATTGATGGTCATCACAATCGATTCCATGCCTCCCTCTGTATCAACTTTGACATCCATGTCTTCTATTTTTGTCAGTCCAGGCATGTGTCCCCTGTTCACCTCACATAGACCAAGTATGCAAGTTTTAGCTAGTTGCACCTTAAGAAAGCTGTCAGCCTTTATACATTGTAGATTCTAATTACGGTAGCTCCATCGGGACCATACATGCAAATGGAATTGCTTAGAGATCATCAATTCATGCCCAGCTATGCCAGTTCTGTAGTTTTTTCCAGCCGGTTTTGGTTCACTGCTCGATAAACTGGCCCTGGGATCTCAAGGCGTGTATTTCAACAATCCCAATATCATCCCCAGGATAACAGTATTGGCTTATTCTGCAACATAATCTACATCAAAGCCTCCAGGGTAGCTAGCTTGAAAAGGACCAAGATGCTTTTTAACTTCTTATCAGGCCTGTGCTTAAGGGTAGTCATAAATTCCACAAGTTGCTCTCCCACAGGGTCCCCTCCTTTGCTTCTCCTCCTCCTGCTTGGCCACCAAAGGCATGCAGAGAGTGGTTTTTTTTTAAAAAAAAAAAGGACTTGCAAATAACATTGCGGAGGGAAGATCGGAGGCAGTTCTAGCAGGAGCCAGGCTGCCACAGGGAATGAAAAGGGATGATCTGGCTCTGATAAATGCAAATCCCACATAGAGTTCTCCCTTCTGAATGCAACATTTTTTTCCTCCTGCTTTCACTCGCAGAGCGTGCCAGATAAGCTCAAACAGGGTTGGGTAGTTTGGGAGTGACTCGTGAGAACCCAGTCTTCCCCTTAGTGCGAACCAAGTCATTGCATTCAGTCCCAGTAAGGTTATTTTAAGGGATTGACTCATAACCCAGATTTTAGCATGGTGGATAAACACTATCTAAGTAAAGGTAAAGGTTCCCCTCACACATGCATGCTAGTCGTTCCCGACTCTAGGGGCGATGCTCATCTCCATTTCAAAGCCAAAAAGCCAGCGCTGTCCAAAGACATCTCCGTGGTCATGTGGCTGGCAAGACTCAACGCCAAAGGCACACGGAAAGCTGTTACCTTCCCACCAAAGTTGATTCCTATTTTTCTACTTGCATTTTTACATGCTTTCGAACTGCTAGGTTGGCAGAAGCTGGAACAAGTAACGGGCGCTCACTCTGTTACGCAGTGCTAGGGATTCGAACNACACACACACACACACACACACACGCCTACCCAGGTTTTGTGGCTCCCAGTGTTTTCTGTGGGAAATCTCTCTCTCGCTCTCTCTCCCTCCCTCCCTCCCATTTGTTTTTCTCTTTTTCCTCTCCCTCTCCCTTTTTTCCTTTCTTTCTCTCCCCCTTCTCTTGTTTGTTTCCCTCTCTTTTCCCTCTTTCTCTCCCTCCAGCTCTCTCATTTCTCTTCCTCTCTCCTTCTCTCTCATTTGTTTCTCTCTTTTTCCTCTCTCTCATACTCTTCCTCCATCATTTTCTCATTTCTCTCTTTCTTTTTCTTCCCTTTTCTCTCTCACTTTCTTTCCCTCTCTCATTTCTCTTCTTTTGCTGCCTGGAGGATGCTTTTCAATTAACGCCACCAGTGGCACCGCTCGGCAGGAGGAAAAAAGCTCAGGGCAGTGAGAAAAGAGGGATGGCCCTACCAAACCTCATCCACCCACCCCAGGGATCAGGCTCAGAGAAAGCCAGAGTACCCTCACCAAAGAGGTTCACCCATCAGCCCTGCTCTGTGCGCCTTTGCTGCGCTTTAGCTGAGCCTGGCCACTCACTTGAGGAAGGTATCCCCACTCATGCGCCCCCTCCCAGCCCAACAGGGGGTCACGTAAGAAGGAAGAGGAGGGTCATCTTTGGAGAAGCTGCCACTGCATGCTAGTCACCCTTTCCATCACACCCTCCTCCCCGATTCCATTCCCACCTCGCCAGCCCTCGTGTTAGTGAGGTTGGTGTCGGTCATGGCCAAGTTGGGCCAGTGTCTCGGAGTGAAGAACAAGTCACGTGACCGGGTCAGCAGGGAGCCGCAGGAGAGGGTTCAAAGAGCCACATGTGGCTCTGGAGCCGCAGGTTGCCAACACCTGCTCTAAATGGATTAAGAAATGAGAAAGTGGAGGAAACTCTCCTGAAATCTTCTACATGTGCAAGGCCACTCTTACTAACAGGGAGAACCATATACAAAAGCTGCTAGTAGGACAGGAAGGGACATCAATCTCATGCATGCTGTACTCACTCTAACTTATATAAAAGTGCTCGGCTTCACAGCTGATATGAAGTCCAAAACTAGGCTATTCCTTCTAGTACGATGGTGCAGTAAGATTCAACTATCAATCCAAATGGTTAATGTGCATGGAGTTGGGACGAGAGACCATCCTGTACTTTGTCTGAGGTGGGAAAATACCTTTGGTCCATTCTAGGTCTGGGTTTATACAATATTACAACATACTAAATCTGCCTCTGAAGCTAAACAGTTTGTGGGTTTACACAATACCTTGTACATAACTAACCAAGAGGCTGGTTTCATATAATGTGTTGAACCATCAAAATAAAAACTGAAGTTGAATAGTAGTCAAGGTTAGTATGAGTCACCAATGTTAGCATGCTATGCTGCTCTAGCCCAATGGCTCTTGAGCGTGGAAAAGAGATGACAAACAACACTCAACAGCAGCCACATCCACAGTTGGATAGCAACATCTATCCGTCAACATGGCTGACTGCAAAAAGTTAAATATGATTGGATTGTGTTAGTACTCAAATGGGAGAAAGCCACGAAACGCCAAGGCTGAGAGGCTGAAAACGTCTCCTGGAAGAAGGCAGTGGTAAACCACTTTGGCATTCTTGTCAAAACCAAACACTCTGCAGGAAAGAATTAACTTAAGCAGCTGCAGTATAGATTCAACTGCCAACACATGCCTCAGGTTGTTGCACCACCAGTTCATCCATAATTACAAGATGCACAGTTTTTGGCTTTACCTAACAAATGGCAAGCTGTTGTAGTTGTCCTCAGTCTACAACTGCCTACCTTTTGCCATTCAGTCTCACTCTGTGTTCAAGGAAGGGGGGTACCCACCACACTGCCCAGAGTCTGGTGCAACTTAATCCCATGCATAGACCTGGCACCAAAGGAGCACCTGCTCTGGCAATCGCCCACCTGCTCCCCACCCCCATCCCTTCCTCCAAACGGCGACTTAAAATTCGTAGTGGCCTCCCTCTGCTACCTCGCCTATGCACCGTTGAGGGTGGGCTGCAATGACTGAGGCCAGCCCTCTGCGACACCCAGACGCCGTCGCCAGCAAGCCAGCACACGCGGTTAAGCAAGCGAGGACCACCGCCGGGCCGTCGGGCTCTCCCTTTCTGGCGGGCGCAGCGGGTTAGTGGCAGCATCCCCAAGGGAAGCGCCAATCGGGGTCGAACGCCCAAGTGCGCCGAGGTTGCCTTGCAAGAATGCCTAGGCACTTTCACCTGCAGGGCGTCCCCTCGGCGCGTGAGCCGGGATGAGGACCACCTCCTCCCTGACCCGGCGGTGCCCGACCCTGGATGCCTCCAGCTCCTCTCAGGATATCATTGCACCAGCCTTCGGGTTTCGGCCACACCCGCACACCCCCTCCGCCCCCCATTTCTGCTTCTCTTCTTCCACACCACCACAGTTGCCCCTGGTTTAAATAGCGTCCCTCCCACCCCGGGCTTGCCTTTCCCGGACTGGCTGGGCATCCCGCTTGACCTCCGCGGGGCCGCTCCCCGGGTCTCCCTGCCCGTCTCGCAAACCTCAAAGCCACGGGCAGGGGAGGGGCAAAGCGCGAGGTGAGAGGGAAGCCAGCGCCGTAGGGCCCGAACTGCGGCGCCTCTCGGAGAAAGTAAAGGGTGGGCGAAGGGGCGGGCCAAGGCGGCGGAGAGCACCCAATGAGCGTTCGGGAAAGCGGTCGGGGGCCGAGCCGGTCGAGTCGCCATCCAATGACCGGGAAGCAGTGGAGGGCGGGAGTAAAACGTTGGGAGCTGGGAGAAGTCGGAGAAGGCGAAGAGTCCGGAGTCGAGCGGCGAGTTGTCGGCGGAGCTGCTGGTGTTCGCTTTGCTCTCGCTCCGGCGCCCGTTATATTAGCTGCGTAGTCGCTGCGCAGAAGCGCCCGGAGGTTCCCAAGAGTCCGGAGGGAGAGGACCAGCCGGACGAGCGAGTTTCTTTGCCCGCCTGCCTCGAGGAGAACTTCAGCTGGACCGCGGAGCTGCTGGTCGGCAACAGGAAACTTTTCTGGAGCAGCCGGAGGAGGCAGAGCTCCGTCGCCGTCGCCGCAGCGCGGCTGGGTTGCTCCACGCCGGGTTCGGGGAGTTCGAGTGGACTTGCGAGGGCTGCCTCGGCCCTGGCCGCGATGTCCCTGGCCACGGACGCCGCGGGGCGGAGGCGTCGGGGTGTCGGCGGCGACTGGCCCTTGGCCGAGGGGTGGCTGCTGCTCTTGGCGCTGCTGGTGCTCCCGGGGACGCCCGGGACCCGGGCTTTCGTCTGCCTTCCTTGCGACGAGTCCAGGTGCGAGGAGCCCAAGAACTGCCCCGGCGGCGTCGTCCTGGACATCTGCGGCTGCTGCTTCATCTGCGCCCGGCAGCGCAACGAGAGCTGCGGCGGTTTCTTCGGGCTGCACGGCGCCTGCGACCGCGGACTTCGCTGTGTGATCCGTCCGCCGCTCAACGGCGATTCTCTCACCGAGTACGAAGCGGGCGTCTGCGAAGGTAAAACGCGGAAGATCGTGGTCTTGCTCCTGTCCCCGGGGCGGATAGCTGCTCCGCCCCCCGCGCGCGGACCCAGGAGCCCGAAGCAGCGCGTGGCTTGGTAGGGTTGCGGGGCTGTGTCCCGAGAGAGAAAAAGGACCCTGTAAGCTTTACGCTTATACCACCCTCCCCAGCAAACACCCCCCCCCCCAATCCAATAGTGGCGCTTCGCGGTTTCCTTTCCAGCCTCTCCATTTTCCGACGCACAATCGGGGTGTAATGCAGCTATAACTACCTTGAAACCCGCTCGCGAAATTCAAGGAAAGGTGATAGCTTCTTCGAACCTGGCGTGTTCGTAGGTTCCACCTCTTCTCTCCCTCCCAAGAAATATTTTCCATTTGTCTATCTCATGTTCCTGTATGTGTATGTGTGTGTATGCATGTATGCATGCATGCATGTATGTATATATGCATATATATATTAGATAGATAGATAGATAGATAGATAGATAGATAGATAGATAGATAGATAGATAGATAGATAGTCAGTCTCCAC